AAGGAAAAAGAAATGGACTCTCACAGCCAAAACACCATAACATGAGGTTCAAGATGTTATGTCTTGGTGTTGGTGTGCAGTGCATACAGGAAGTTAGGTAGAAGGGGACAAGACAATGTTCTAGGCAGCAGGACATGTAAAAATTGTAAGGCAAGCAAGAATTGCAGATGGTTTGTTTTTACTATAATTTGGAATGCAGTATTTAAAAGACTGTAAATAAAGAGTGCTTTGGTTCAAAAAACCTCTTATCATAGAGAACTGGAATGGTCCCACTCTAATTTCCTTCTCCCTTTCTTCATCCTGTCAGGAATTTGGGGCACACATTCATATGTGCCTGGTGTGCTTTTTAAGCCACAAGGACTAGGGTTTGAACCATGGTCAGCCATGTGGAATCCAGCTTCCTTAACCACTAGGCCATAAGTCCAGACCAGATTGAAGATTTTTAAGGTAAGAAATGGCATGAACTTATTTACAAGCTATAAAGACCATTGCATCCATAGTGTGGTGGATTACTTGGAGAAGTGAAAATTCCTGTAGAGCTGTTATGACAAGAGAAGAAATGAGGGAGAGCTTGTAGCACAGTGGTGAGATGTGTTTAGATTAGCAGGTTTTAGTTCCCTGTCAGTCTACAGAATTATCCAAATAAGCCAGTCTCATCTTCCTGCAGGAACTATGGGTCACCTCGCTCTCTAAGTACTATGAAGCCCACATCTCACAGTTCCTGGATGTTCACTCTGCTCCCAGATGGAGCTCATTTGTGGGCCTGCATGGCATGCCAGATCCTCTTCCCTGGGCTGTGAGTACACATGACAAAGTGCTGTTGCCCCCATCTCCCCATACTTGGGTGCTGCGTGTTCAGTCAGCTCTCATCACTCTAAGTTGGGAACTCCTCTTTCACCAGTGAGTTGAATAGGAGGAGATTGAAACAAGTAGATGTGGAGACTAAAGGTCCGAGTTGTCCTGTCCAATATAGTCGCTCTTAGTTTGTGTGGCTACTGAATACTTGAAATGTGACAATTCCAAATTGTCATGCATTGTAAGGGCAAAATACAAACTGAATTTTGAAGATTCCGCATGAACACAAGGATATAATTATTCTTAATAATAATTTTATATTGAATGCACTGTGATATAATATTTTGGATATATTTTATTAAATAGTAAACATAATTTCATCTTTTACTAACATGGTTACTGTAAAATTACCTTGGTAACGTCCATCTGTGACTCACATTATATTTTTATTGCACAACTCCGGATGAGTGAGGGAGAGTGAAAAGACCCAGTGTAACTTAGACATGTAGATGAGAGAGATTCCTAGAACTAAATGCTTGGTCTGTTTGGGTAGCTACAAAAAGGAAAAGAATAATGAGGGGGAATACAGCTTTTCCTAGGAAGCAGAAGAGTTAAATTTTGGAAGTCTATGGTCAAGATGTGAGGCAGATATTTAGATGAAAATCAGAAGTGTAATAGGGTAATAGATCTGGAATTTGTCAGTAAGTTTGGAGCTGAAGTTCTAGCATTGAAAATTCTAAATGAAATTTCTAGAAGTTAGAATGTAGACCAAATGAGAACATTGATGATAGAAATTAGGGCTGAGAAAATGGCTATGTAAAATAGTACTGCTCAACATGTTTCAATACAGTTCAAGAAACTTTTGAGTATCTAATATGTGCAAGGCTTCAGTGATTTATGAGTCTGTATATATTAAAAAAGCGAAATTTTTAAAGATAGAAGTAAATTTAATAATAGAGAGAGAGGGACAGAGGAAGCACTCTTAACAAGATCTCATCATGCCAGGATCCCCTCACTTCAGTCCTCCCTCAGGAGCTTGGGTGGACATCCACATGTGTCTAGCCTGTTGTCAAATCTGCAGTTGATCATAAAGTCTCCAATTTATCATAGGCTAGACCAGATTTTTTAAAGTTCATTTTATTTTATTATTTCTTTTCTTTTTTTTTTGAGGTTTTTCACTATAGGGCGCGTGCGCTCGCCAGGCAGACAGAGAGAGACAGAGAGACAGAAAGCAAGAAATCACCCCCCCCAGAGTGGATGGCCATGCTGCAATCCCTTCTCCTCCATTCTCCTCTTGGGATCTTGGGCACGCATGCACACACGCCCGGCGTGGGTTTTAAGCCACCAGGTCCGGGACGCGAACCACGGTTGACTATGTGGGAGTCCAGTGACATAGCCATTATGTTAACTGCTGGTTCCCTTATTATTTCTTCTTAAAGACATGGAGAAAGGGAGACAAACAGAGAAAGGCAGAGGGAGAGAGAGAGAGAGAGATACCTGCCCAGGCCCCTCACACAGTAATCCACCCTCAGCCTCAACCAGCCTGGATACCCAGCATGCACAGGGAAACTTTTGGACACAAACCTGGGACCTTCCCATGTGGATCTGACATCACTGACACTGCACTTCCCTTGTGCCACTGCAGTCAGTCTGATTTTTCATATAAATTTATTATTTTAGGCCTAAATACTGTGTCTATGCAATAGGAAAAAGAAGTAGAAAATAACAATATTAAAACATATTGATAAAACTATATTTAAATATAATAAAATGTTTTCATTTGTGAAAAGATCTTATTAGGAAGTAAAGCTGGATATAAAGGCTTATAAGAAGTTTCAATAAAATTTCTCATAATTTTTAAGTGTCTAGAAATTAGTAGTACTGATTCTTAATTACATTTGCTTCCATATGATATACATGTCTCATTAAATTTTGTGACTTTGGTTTAAGAAAGTTGTAACTCTACATCAGATATTCTTGACAGGATATCTTTTGGGTTGCAAAGAAATTGAAAAGAGATAAAAAGGGAAAGTACAAGGGAAATATTCTGCCGAATAAACTGACATTTTTGTCATAGACAGGAGGAGAAAAATAAAGACTAGACTTGGATAGGAGGAAAAGGATAAAAAGACGTCAACAGAAGATAGAACTGCATCGCGGTGAATGTTGACCATCAGAACACAGCAGGAAGTAGTAAGAGGTTTACTCTGAGATAGTGATAAGGAAGGCGGATTCTCATTTTCACCAAGAATAACTATAGTTGTAAGACACACATGTTGTATTATTGAAGGTAGCAAAGAAATCATGTCCTTGCTTGATGAAAAAGAGTGTGGTTTGAACACTACACGTTGTTTTTGTAAATTAATATGTTCCAACACAGCTACATCAAGTATTTGCTAAGTTATTTAAAAATGTTCTCATTTAATGTTTACCATAACCCAATGAATAAATACTTTATTGTCTCTATTTCACAGAAGAGGAAACTGTGGCTTGGGGAAGTTCCACAAATTATCAAGGCCACACAACCTTGAGAGGTAGAACTCAATAAGAACCTGGTTATCCGAAGCTCATGCTCATAATATTCTGGAAATATTTGTTATATGTTTAGAATTCAGGGAACATGTATACAGTGAACAAAGATAAGGGAGATGGAAAGGGATAAATTATTGGATAAAACTTTGGGTTTTAGAGGGCATCATTTTTATATACCAGAAGTATACATTTATTGTGAAGTGAGAACCAATGATGTCATGGACGTACTACAGAGGTTATTTTAACAACTTTAGTAAATACAGAGTTCTTTTTCTGCTTTTTCCACCCACCTCATTGGCTAACACAGAAAATATTACTTAGGTGATCAAACACCGGTTGAAATTTCTCAGACACCACATATATGCATATGTGATTACATTTGCATATATTATATATTAAAACAAATGTATGTATTTATGGCTAAGCTGTGATCCTATTGTTGAGGAAAAAAATTCTATTTGTAAGGCTACTAGATGTCTTTGCTTTAGAAATCGTAGACCTTGGGGGCTAGTAGGTGGTATGGTGGTTGAGGCATTGTATTCACACATGGTCAACCACGGTTTGAATCTAAGACTTTGCAGCTTGCCTTCTCTGTCTCTCTCTCTCTGGTGAGTGCACACAACCTGTAGTAAACTAAAAATCCTAATAATTGGGACTAGAGGATGGCATAATGTTTACATTGCTGAACTCCCACATGGCTGACCACGGCTGAAGTCCCAGGTCCTGTTGCTTGAAACTCAAACCAAGAGTATATGCGTGTGTGCTCAAAACCCCGGGAGGAGAATGGAGGAGTAGGGATTGTGGTGTGGCCACCCCCCCCCCGGGGAGGATTTCTCATTTTCTGTCTCTCTGTCTCTTTGTCTCTCTCTGGTGAGCACATATGTCCTATTGCAAAAATAAAAAATAATAATTATTATTATTGTATATGCGTGTGTGCTCAAAACCCCGGGAGGAGAATGGAGGAGTAGGGATTGTGGTGTGGCCACCACCCCCCCGGGGAGGATTTCTCATTTTCTGTCTCTCTGTCTCTTTGTCTCTCTCTGGTGAGCACATATGTCTATAGCAAAAATAAAAAATAATAATAATTATTATTATTATCATACAATAAATAATTCTTAAAAAAAATGAAATCATTGGCCAACACTGTGTGAAGTACCTTTATCAGGCAAATGATCAATATAGTATCTAGCCAGCAAAAACAGAATTTTAAAGATACTATTACATTATGTATTATCAGTGTTGTCTGTAATTAAAAATAATACTCATGGATGATATATCACATTTAAATAGTGAGATAAAAGAATAAAAAAATACTTAAGGTGAAATTAGGATGAATATGTGAAAATTGTCCCAAATAAAATAAAATATTTCAGATATTTATTTGAATAATGATATTTCAATATAGAAAAAAATACAATTATAGAAAATGTATACATTTTTCTCACTAATATTCTTGGGTTTTGCTTATTTAATTCTCAATAGAACATTGTAAAATACAAACAAAATTTTATTTTTGGTGAGTTTTTCAGTATAATTTATAGACTGGCATTTGACACACATATATGATATTTTAATTAAACCTTAAAAACAAATATTGTTTCTGCCTTCATTAATGTGAAGTAATCAATAATTATTTTATGAGTTGGGAAATTGCAGTAAGTAAAATAATAAAAGAAGAAACTACCTTACTTAATGAGTTTAAAAATTCCCTTAAAGTTTAAAACAAAGAATGTCATTTAAGTTCTAGAGATTTAATTTATTTAAAATTTTCAAGAGTCACATATTATATATTAAATCTTACACTATAATTCTGAAGTAACCAGTGAGTGAAAATTAAAATATAAAATATCAGATATCCTTAAAACTAATTTTTTTTCTAATTTCTTATAATCTTATAGCTCAGAGTCCTTATAAGTAGTTTATTGTGACATGGAGATAAGTTATATAGTTAGAATTTATTTTGTTGTCTTCATTATCAAATTTAATGAGAAAAATGCACATACTATTTGAAGTAATGAGGGAGAAGAGTAAGAAAATATTTTGCTGTCAGATATTTTGGAGCAGGTAAATAATTCTGTATACTATTTAAGAACACATGAGAAAATGCAAAAAAAAAAAAATGAGTTACTTCCTTAAAAGTATGGCAATGAGTTGGGGAATTTGAGTTACATGAATTTTACTTGATAAGAAAAATCTCTTCCTCTTTGTTCTATAAATATCTCTTTTACTCCACATGGGGAAAACAAGTTAATCTCTATTTCTGGAAAGAAAGAATTAAAATATAAACAGGAGAAAATTGAGGAACAAATGTAGCAAATACCAGAGATCTAAATACAGGATTACTGTGATGTTAGTGTGCTTTCTGGAATGCTTAAACACACGTTCACCCAAGTCACAAGGTCGAGAAGTTGAGTCCCACAGTTAATCAGGAAATAAGAAAAGTAGTGGTTTTCATTGACTCATGACTAAGGAAAAATTCACATTTTCTGGAAAAGCTCAAAAGCTCCCAAATGTGCTGAGAACACAGGAAAACTAAAAAGTAAAATTTAGAATAAACATCAAGATGAACTATGAAATAAAATCTGATAAAACCCTGATTCTTCTTTAGAAGACCCAAATTTGATTTGCCTGCTTAAGAAAACAAAGACAAACAAACAAAACGAAAGGTCTTCAGCTTCCTATTGAGTTAGGTCAAACATAATTTCTCAAAATTCAGGGAAAAGTAGCATTATCTAGAGTCTATAAAAAATTACTCAGGAGGAAGTATGGATTGATGGGTAAATATAATGTAAGTCAATTTGATTTACTGTTCTATTACAATTTTACCTTGTGTATCACTGAAAAAATTAACATCATTGATGAATGGGCTAAAAATGCAATGACAATAGCCTCCAAATAAAGGAGAACCTATAACCGTAAGACAGAAAGAACATCATTTTTCCAGAAATTAATTATTGAATGGTGTGAAAGGGAAATTGGCTTTAACTGAGTGATTTAGTGATGTTTGAAGAAGTAAGTTGTAGATTATATTTATTTTTTAAATAGGCATTAAAAACATCATCTTCTATAATACAATAGTAGATGTACTGGCATATATGAAAACTCCATGCTTTAAAAAGATTGACATCTGTTACATAAAGGCACAATGCCTCACTATATCTGCAAACACATTTTGGTGTTTTCATCCCATAGTTTAGCAATAAAGACTTTTGTCTACCTTGGAAAGTGGAAAAATATAGAAATACTACATCATTGTCAGGGTGAAACTATGAGGATTAATAGCGTGGAAAGCTCCAGACCCATTGAAAAGACGGCCTCACATATAATAGTAGTAGTAGGCATAGTTGCACATTCTTTCCTTTTCCCCCAAACTAACAGATTTTGTTGGAATCCTAAGGCCAAATTCACTGAGAATAGCATCCTTTGACAGATAAATGAGTAGTATCAGTGATTGGAGACTTTAGATAATTCCTTCTTACAAGGGGTCACACCAAAACTTGAGTATATGTTCACGACCTCTTCAGAAAGTCAAGGTTTATAAAAACAATAAGCAACAGAGAAAAATGTAGGTGGGCTAAATAGAATAAATGATAATTGTCCAAAAATAAGAGTATGGAATTGTATATAACTTTTCATAATAAAAGCGAGATTATTAAATTGATGGGGGAAAAGGTCAGTCATTAATTCAGATTAATTAACCTAATTTACAGATAGTGCAATCCTGATCTTTTCTTCAAAATTTTAATTGGTCACTTTTATATAATCAGGGTTATCAGTCATACACAGAATTTCTGAAAACTTGTGGTTAACAAGAAGAACTGGGGTGTGTTATGATCCCCACACTAGAAACTGAATAATGACATTATTTCCCAAAAGCTTACACAGGGATTGATGCTAATCGTTGCCGGCACGTGCATATATAACAGTTTCATTTTATGAAAAAGATCGGAGGAAATTTATTCACACAGTCCTCTGATGACAATCACAAGTGCGTCAAGGAGATAAATGTTGTGGGATTTGTTTTTCCTGGGTAATAGCGAAAGCATCTTGAGAGCCTCGATTCTTGTCTCCGGTGCTATCTCACTTTCTGTAGCTCCTGTCTCAGCCATGACGGCAAGGGCTGGCCCAGTCTATGCAGTAGTTTGGACAGTTCCACATTATGATCTCGGTAGTAGTTAGAGAGGAAAGTCCTAGACTGGAAAGGAAAAAGAAAAAGAAGACTTGAAAAATAAAAAAAGATTTTAGTTCATCAAACAAGATGATGGAATCTACATTTCTTAGGAATTCTATTATATGTTTCTAGGATGCTTTTATTTCTTGTACTTTTTTCCCGAGGACTACTCATTTTTACCTTTTGGAAAGACTTGAAAAAAAAATAGCTACAAGATAAAAATAGGTCCAGGTATCTCCTATGTTGCTTATCTACCATTGTAGACATATTTACTGTGAGATTCATGATGTCTACACAGAGAAAGAAATTGATGGTAAGATATGATAGCAGAGAAGAGCGAAATAGAGACCTCATGAGAAATTGAGTCTACAGAGGTCATACATACATTTCTTTTAAACATTGGCCCTTAAGATAAAAATAAAAAGGGAGCTTGAATAATTACAAAAACTATAAAATTCATGTTTACAGAAAATAATCTGCAACATTACATAAATGTTTTCTGTATTTATTTAGGACCATAGCACATTTTTCCAATCATAAGTGCTTTCTGCTTCTAAACTATTCAAGGTCTCTGGACTTGATTTTTTTTTTTTTTTTTTTTTTGGTAATTCTAGTCTAGCTGGAAAGATGCCTCCCATCCCCCCCCACTACATAAATAATATTTTTTAAAAATGCCCCAAAATATTATAAAATACTTCAGTGGTTTTACTTTTATATTTATTTTTCATGAAAAAAGATTTCCGGAAAGCAAAAAAATGTATGAATGGACTTTCTTTCTAGATGTCATTTTCTACATGTTATCACCAATCAGCGTGGTGCTGTCTTTGATCAAAGTGGTAGAGACAAGTACTTTCCTTTTTCTCACACGTTGTTACATTAACCCACACGTTGTTTTTCATCTTGTCGAAGTTGCTCCATCTCTCTTAAGCCCTCCCCAATATTTTAACACGAATGGATCATTTTCTATAAAACTCCCTTAGCAACTTTTGTGTACACTGTGGAAATGGATTTAAGACAACCGCATTTCATCTTCAACCATTTGTTAGGTATTTCATTATGTTTCTTCCCTTAAACCAGATTGTAAACACTTCAAGTTTGGGCTAAGATGTTTATAGTAGTAGTGGGAACGTTACATTGATTTCTTGGCAGATTAAAGTGTTTTCTGAAACTCTTTTGAAATTATTGAGTTCAAAGGTGTAGTTTAAGGATTTTCTGGCTCTTCTATTTCCATAGTAACATGCGAATCTCTTGTATCTTCCCGTTGCCCACCCTGCCATTTGAGACATCTCTTGATAACTGGCTGCATGGATTGCTGCATGTTTCCCAGTGCTAGTCTACAACGTCGGGGTTTCTCCTCACAGCCTCGCTTCTGGTGAGATATTTCCCTGCCTTTTTGTAGTTTAATCTGTCATTGTTTTATGTGTTGTATTATAAATCAGTGATCATAGCTAACTTATTCATCTGATAATAAATCTGGGCTTCATATCTGTTTTATATAGTATCTTCTCCATTTTTATTAGCTCATGTTTGGTGTAGACATCGGTTAAATGTATTGAAACTACATAGTAGTAATACTTGTACATTTTATCCAAAATCACTGGCTTCGTAAACAATTCATTTAAGTATTTTTATTTTTATTTTAGTTTTAGTTTTAGTTTTTTAGAAAATTTTGCTATGGGTATGTGTACTCACTGGACACAGAGAGATAGAAAGTTAAAAACTCACCCCCCCCGGGGGGGGGGATGATCACGCTGCAATCTCCTCTTCTCCATTCTCCTCTCAGATTTTGGGTATACACACACAAGTGCCTGGATTGAGTTTTCAGCTGTGGGGTCTGAAACTCAAACCGTGGACAATTACCTGGGAGTCCAGCAACGCAACCATTATGCAATCTGCTGGTCCCTCATTAAATGTTTTACACAGTTGGAAAGGAAATACTTTTCAGTGAATATTTGTGTTTAAATAAATACCATCAGCAAACAATTTCTAGGGTTATATATGAATTCTTTGTCTCTCACTCTATCTTCTTCTAAATACATGAAACTATCGATTGCAGAGGAAGAACAGAAATGGAAGCAGACTTCTTATTACTAGATTTGAAACAACTATATGCACAGAGTTGTGCTCAAGTAATTAAAAGATTAGGGAACTATTACCTCTGGATCCATGGGTGGATATTTTCGGCCTTTGCTTTTTCCAAGGCACTTCGTCTTTCCTCCTTCTAGTAGTTGACACCAAAAACCTTTCTGGGGATCAAACCTAAAAGAGATAACTTATTATGATTATCAACTGAAGGCAGGGTTTTTAGTGAGAGAACCTTACCAACTGGAAAGAGAAAATATACTGTTATATGCTCATTGCTTTCATTTCAATTAGTTTATTTCTGTAGCTATTTATTCAGTTAATGCGAGAGAGGCTTGCTAATACTAAACAAAGCATATATTATTCTATACCAAAATAAAAAATTTATGTATTTATTTGATCCACGAGTGAGAGAGAGAGGACAAGAGAGACAGCACCCTCCAGCTGGAGCATGATGCCATGATCCACCCACTTTGAGTCAGCCCTGGACCAAGGGCAAGCACGTCTGGCATCATTACTTCAACCAGGAAGCTTTCCATGTGGGATTGCTTCAAAAAGAACATTGTGTTTAATCTTCTGTACCATTGTCTGGCCCCTGATATTATACACTTGTAAATAGTTCTACTCTAATGGAAAACTGCAATGAAACCTTTAGTCTAATTTTACATTGAAATGATTAAGTTTCTTATTTTACTTATCAAAACAAAAAGATCAAAGAACAAACAATCATCAGAATTATAGACCATACATCAGGGACCTTTAGAATACTTTATTTACTTATAAAGGCAATTTCCCTGCCAAAATATATTATTACTATTATTTGAAATTATTCAATAATATACATTAAAGTGGCTGAGGTAAGGCAGGTATAGTTCTTTGAATATTAACATAAATCAAACCTTGCAATTTGAAAAAAATTGCCATTTTTAAAAAAAAGTTCAATTGTTTACACTTTGCAAAAAAGAAATAAAAATGTAAAAAAATAGGGACCAGCAGATGACATAATGGCTATGTCACTTGACTCCCATGTAGTTGACCATGGTTCAAGTCCCAGACTGGATGTGACTTAAAACCCAAGTCAGGTGTGGGTGCATGCATGCCCCAAATCCTGAGAGGAGAATGGAGGAGAAAGGATTGTAGCAAGGCCATCCTCCTTGGGGGGTGATTTTTCACTTTCTGTCTCTCTGGGTCTCTGGCAAGGGCACACACCCTATAGCAAAAATCTCTCTAAAAAAAGTGTAAAAAATAAATCGATTGTATTTTTTTTTTTCAGACAACAGCTATACAAAAGGTGAGTGGAAGATTGGATAACTTGGTTTATTTATTTCTTACATAAGTGAGAAAGAGACACAGAGATAGACAGACAGGCACTCTCAACATGGACCTCACACTGTGTCCCACCCCTGATCACAATCAGATCAAGAACGTGTATGTGCATGTACCCAGCAAGCTCAGGGAGGTTCTGGAACACAAACTCAGGGCCTTTCCCATGTGAGACCAGTTTCATGACCCCTGCCCCACTGCCTTGCCTTAAGAGAATTCTTCTTATTTTCTTTTGCTGAGGGAAGATAATCCTACTGGGTTATACAGGTCCTTATGCTCTTAAAGAAAATTCTAATGCTTTTCTTCCACAACTGCACTAAATTACAAAAAGAAAAAAACTGTGGCCTAATTATGTTGTTTAAAGTCAAACATATACAAAATTTTGTTTAGGACTAACAAGGTAGGAAAAAAATAAAAAAGCAAGCCAAACAAGAAGGGAAATTTTAGATTTATTGCTGTGGGACAATAAAACATGCCGCATGCATAAAACATCGAAAAGGTTTGCATTTTTGTTGCTCAGCAGATGTTTTAGAAGGATGACGCATAATTGACTGGGATGTAAAGTTAATTAGTTGTAGAATATTTTGTTGCCCTGGGCCCATTCCTATAATACCGATGCACCTGCAATTTGCCTCTGCACATATGTGAACTCATTTTGGGGAAGAGGGAAATTTTCTTCACAGTTCCCTGCCCAACCTATTATTAGAGACCTGATCCTTGCAGACCAAGTTGTCCTAGTACATGTTATCAATTAAAATTAGATACATCACTAGTTAAATGGATAAGAAGAAGACAGAGCCATTTCCAACCTAGACTTTTCAATCTGCTCCTTGCCCATCACTCCTTTCTTTAGTTCTCAGTAATTTCCCAAGAGGAAAAGCAAGTCAGCATGCTGTGTAAAATGAGATGGGGAAGTCGGCATAACGGTGGCTTTAAACAGCATTTTCTGCCTCGGGATGAGAATATTTAACTGCATTAAGGTAAAATAACAGCTCTGGCAACAAAGCCAAGTTATTTATATACATGCTGAGAGCATCTCCTTTGCTCTCAGGTAGGGCAGAGGTCTTGGGGTGGGCTGCGGTCTCTCTTAACTCTCCACAGCAGCTGCTGAGAGGGAGAGCTTAATACATGGCAAGGAAGGAGAACTATCCAGAATATCAAAAGTCTATTTTTTTTTAATGTAGGGTTATCATAACCTTGAATTCACAGTATTTTGCTGTCCCGGTTTCATTTATTGCATTGGCAACTTTATATACACTAGGGTCTAAGAAAGGGCGTTTATCCTCTCTAAATTCTATCAATCCGTTGTTTTATGGTTTTATTTTAGTAGGCATGAAATTGTGAAATTAAGATGCAAAGCTTTCCTTGACTAACTGTGAGACAACTTTAAGGACACGAGTTCGTTGCCATTCTGTTTTTATTATTTTTTTATTATGCCAAACATCACTGAAGTTATTAATTTTTGTGATGTGTGAGAGATATTAAAACCATATATTTTGTGCTTGTTTGCAATCTCTCCTTCAAAAGTATCATTTTACAAGTTTGTTGAATCATAACAACTATCTGTAGTAAACCCGACAAAACCATTGCCTAAACAACTGCTGCGAGGCAGAGGAAGATACGAATTTGCATCCATAACTATTAATGCAAAACACAATGAAGGAAGCTTTGTCTACTTAATCAGCAGGGACACGCCTTTGTAGTTGTTATTTCCATGTGTAGGCAAAATCCTCATTAGGATTATTTTAGTGGATAAGGAACAACCCAATCTTATTACTGCTTTTCCTGTTCCTCCATTACTTTCTCTAATTGTCTAATTGCTGATTCTAATCTGCTGTGAACTGGGAAATTATGTAATCAGGCTTGTTAGAATTTTGTCTAAAATTGAATAGGCTTCATATTGGGCCATATGGGGGAGTCTTATGAATAAAGTACATGCCTTTTACAAGTATGTCTTTGCTGCTTGGAAATTTTGTCTTTCCCCCTCTTCTACTTATTTATTTTTAGATTTTTGGCATAGGGCTTGTGTATTTCTTGATCAGAGACAGATAGAAGTACAGTTGTATAGAGAGAAAATGAGAAGTCACCCCCCTAGAGGGTCTGGCCACATAGTAATCCCTTCTCCATTCTCCTCTCATGGTTTTGGGCGTGCATGCACATGTGCCCGGTGTTTTCAAGCCTGAGGGCCCAGGACTGGAGTAGTGGAGTCAGCTTTGTGGGATCCAGCACCTCAACCACTACACCACCTGATGCCCCTCATTTTTAGTTTTCCAGGTATGTGGTTTTATTTTCTCAAGATGATGACAAAAATATCTCCCATCCCACATTCTCTTCAGCAGACTGTCCTTTCCCAACACTGTCAGGAAGTAGAGTCTCATTTGCCTTCCAGTGGATTTGAACTGGCACTAATGAATACCAATTTGTCCCACTGAGCTCAACCTTTGAGCCATCCCAGTCCAGGAGCCAGAGATGGGGATGAAAAAGCCTCCAGATGATTTTAGTCCCCAGCCATTTCAGTCATACCCAGATACTCCAATCTTCCTACCTGTGGCCCCGGATAGCATGGGAAAGACAAACCACCTGTCTCTTGCCTAGTTTCTGGTTCATGGAACCCATGAGCATAATATGGTGGATGTTATTTTATGTCAGTAGGTGTGAGGACAGTTTCCATGGAACAATAGGTAAGTGGAACATTTTACATGATTATATTTGGTTATCACTAATTTAATACATACAGAATAGAACATGAATGTACTCCTTTCTCATTTCTGCCCTAAACAGTGCTCCATTTTCCAGAAAGAATGAGGATTATCTGAATTTCTTTCTCTCTCTCTCTTTTTTTTTTAAGTGTATTTCTTTTTGTTCATGATAGACAGCATGAAAGCATGCACGTGCACAGTAGCCAAAGAGAAAGCAACAGAGCAGCACCCTGGACAGCGTCAGCCAGCATCTCCTTCCTGCACCCTCCCCCTCCTCAGGATCCTGGGCAGGTCTGCACACCCCAGGAGTGTTTTCTGATCAACCTGGTGATCTGAACCTGAAATCAGCCACGTGACTTCCAGCACTGCCGTTCAGTTTGTTAGTGACTATGCCCCTAGACCGGGCCAGCATTGCATTCCTACCCTGTAAGTTATCTTGTAAAAAGTATACAAAAAGTTTAATCAAACTGATATTAATAAAAATATCACAAAAAGGGGAATTTGTCCTAATAGAAAAAAACTTACAATTCTTCGGAAGAGAAAGCATTCTTGGTATTTGAAAGGGAGACATTACATGAATAATGAGAATGTTCTTTTGACTGCTTTGGGAAGCATAATGATGTATAAATTCATAGCTAGTATTAATGATGCTGTATTCACACCTACTGGTGATAATTTATGATGGCAAATAATGGAAATGAAATCAAGCATGAGAATAAACTCACGTTAGTGCTTCAGAGTAATTATAATGAGGCGTAACTCCCAGAAACTTCTGGACTTCATCCATTACAGTAGCTGGGTCAGATCTCAGCTGCTGTCCATCAATAATTAGCAACTGTGAAGTCAAAAATAGTCACTTTATGAAGAACCCAACTAAACTGAATAGACTGAGCTGCCCCCCTTAACCTGGTATGGTGATAATAAGTTAGGTCAGTCTTCATAGAATGAAAACATGCACTGCTTAGAATATATTTTAGTGTGTACTATTCTTGTGTCCTTCCAAATAAATGAAAATTAAAGTTTGCCTTAGGTGTCAGTTCTTGGGAGTTATCAAGTTATAATCCTTTTATATAAAGGCTGTAATTTACTTTATGAATTAAGAAATAAATGTAGACATTTCTTGATTTTGTACTTCAGTAGAAGTACAATTTTCCATCTGTAGTGTAACCAGATAACTACCCAGTCTACCAAACCCTGGGAACTAACCCTGGAGCCATGAGCTTAGAAATCATGGACATCAAGATGAAAATCACCCATCTAGTTTTATAGACCATGGCAGGGGGAAGGAGGAAATGCTCATTTCTGCTCTTCCTGACCATTGGTTTACTGCTCTAGCATATAAGAATTGCCTGAGGAATGTTGAAAAATATGTCAGTGCAGAAGCCAACCATCTGGAGCTTCAATTGCACCCTGAGTTGGAATGCAGAATATAAAGATATAGTTGCTTTCCTCAAATTCTTATTTCTTGTTATATATGATGTTCCTGGAGCTTTAATAGTGCTTTCCATTTTTGCATTTTAGAGCATGATTTCCTTCTTTCTTCATTGGGGTCACAGCGGACAGACATATGGGTGTCTACGTGTGGCATTCCATAAAGGTATCATCCAATAGGCTGTTTTACTAATAGTTTTGAGTTGTTGCCTACGAATCTTGGTATCTCCTTGAGGAGATATCAAGAGGACTTATCACCTTGAGACCACCTAGTGTTCCAAAAAATATCCCAAGCACATGTTTCAGAGTTTTTTAACAGTAATTTAAATATTTTTTATTGAAACTAAAAATATGAGAATCCACATACTTTCCATATCATTGCCTCTGATTATAAAATTGCTATCTGTGGAAAGGTGAATTCATGTTTTGCATATTTTCTCCTCATTTTTAGTTGTTCAAATACATGCTTTTCTTTTACCAAGATGAGGACAACCATATCTCCCATTGCACATTTGTCAGTGCATCACAATCATGGTGCAGTAAACAGTAGAGATTATTTCCAGGGTATTACCTGAGAAGTAGCAAAGTAAGCAAGCCACCTTTCTATGTGGACTGCATACCACCCAGGAACTAGACATCTCCTCTGCAAAGTTTTCAAGTCAGATGGGGCCCAATGGCCTGTTGTAATAACTTCATAGAAATTAAACCTCAGGGCAGCTGGATCTTCATGTGACCGCTGGTGCTTTAAGAGAAAGTCAATTGTAACATTAGTTTTCTTCATGCCTGCGCATATACAAGTGTATATATGTGGGCATTTATGTGTGTGTTTAAAGTGTGTATTTCAGTTTATGAAAGAACAAAAGTTATTTGATTTTAGAATGAAAAATGTGATTGAAAACTTCTTATAGTGAAACAAACATTAGCACATTGATTATTTTAAAGTATTTTAAAAACATAATCCCTCACTATACATCAAGTGTTATACAGACAAACTTGTGGTTATCTTCATGTTTAAATGTTTGGGTGGAAGGCATAGACATAGTGCAAAGATTTCCTTCATGGATCTGATTGGAAGTAGAATGATAACAGGGCCAGCAGATGGCACAGCTGCTATGTAACTTGACTCCCATATGGCCAACCACAATTCGAGTCCTGGATCCTGTGGCTTCAAAATCACACGGGGGCTCAAGATCCTGAGAGGAGAATGGAGGAGAAGGGATTGCAGTGTAACTAACCCCTAGGGGGGGGTGTAATTTCTCACTTTCCCTCTCACTGTCTCTGTTCCTCTCTGGCAAGCACACCTCCCCTGCCTCCCCACCACCCGACCAAAGAAAGAAACAAGAAGTCAGATTAGACAAATTGACCCTAATGTGAAGAGATTTAGATGAGCAAGATTACATATTTATCTATCCAATATTCCTCTATAGCTGATACTACAGGTGCAGAGAAAACAGACATTTATTCCTAAAACCTGTGTGGGTGTCACATTCATATTTTCATTGCATGAGGTCCTTTTTTTCCTTCCTGCAGAGTTCCATATACCTTGATAATTTTCTTTCCTTTTTTCTTTTGGAGAAGTTTTTTCTATAGGGCACGTGCACTCACTCAAAACACAGAGAGAGACAGAGAGACAGAAAGTGAGAAATCACCCCACAGAGGGATAATTTCTCCTCTGTTTTCCTCTCAAGATCTTGGGCACGCATACACATGCACCTGGCGTGGACTGGGTCCTGGACTCAAACCGTGATCGACTACATGGAAGTCCAGCAACATAGCCATTATGCCAACTGCTGGTCCTTACCTTGATCATTTTCAAACTTTGCTTTGCTATTACTTTTCAGCACCAAATCCTCTGAACCTTTCACACTGACCAACAATGGTCAAGCAGGAAAGAAGCCAATTTAAGGAGATTATTTTAACTCCCAAGACACTTTCAGAATCATCTATTAAAATCCTTTTTAGAACAAAGAACTGCAATAGATTCTGGAGACAAAAACATATACGTAAAAATAATCACTATCTTCAAAGACACCATATCTAGAGTGGAGAATAATAGATTAGTAGGTTGCACTAAAGTCATATATTTGACTAAAGGTTTTAGTTACTTGCTGTGATAGCCAGATCAATAAGTGATTAATTATGATTGAAATATGAAAAGACTTTTTCAATGGCTGCAGTTTTGGAGCTAAAATGTAATGAAAAAGATTTTGATAATCAGCAAAAACAACAACAGGAAATACAAAAAAATTTTATATCTAAATTACGTTTTAGGGAAGGTGAAAGAGATGCAAGAGAATAAGTGAGTTGGTGTTGTGAGGTATCTAAAGATAAACATGAAGAAGATATAGTATAGGGTAAGGGTGGAGGTATTTTGAGGCCTGAAACAATAGCAACAATAAGCCTTATGTGTGAATTAGGAAGGTAAATAGCTAGCAAAGTAAAGATGATTAGGAAGTGGTGAATGGTTACCTGTTGGTGATAACACGTATAGTATTCTCTATTGGACTGGTCTGAGAAGTATTTCATGTTAGATAGATTCTCTTTACAAGCCAAATGATGTATAGTGACTAAATGTTTTTAAAAATGAGAATAAAAAAGATAATAATAATTAAAAAATGGAAAACTATTTGATGAAGATGACGTGGCTAATAATGTCTTTGTCTTAACTGATATGCATGGTAATCATGCTAGAAAAAGAAATGTTATACACTGTACAGATACATGTGATTAAATGTAATATAAAAAAATAAAAATCTTGAAAAAAAAGAGTAGTAAGTGGCAGATTGGTGAAACCAGTAAAACCTTTTGAAGTCCTCTAATTTGTGTATATTTATTGACTTTCTGACACAGATATAATACTGGCTACACAGAGATGAAAGAATTCACCTACTAAACAAATGTGTAGAAATTACATAACTTGAACAAAGAATTATAAACATACTAGTGCACACTAATAGAGAAGTGCTAAAATTTCTTTTTTAAGCAACGGTAGTATAGAACCGTATGTAATTTGTTCTATGTTGACATTTAGCACTATTTTTTAAAAAATATTTATGCAACTAAGAAGATTAGCACTAATTTTTCTTCATATTTATGCAACTAAGAAGATTAGCATAAAAATATGACCTGAAAGTCACAAAGGGACATATTTTATGGAAAAAAATGGCACTCTAGCTCCTCTGTGAGGTCCATTATAAAAATGTAAGATAGAAAGTATAGTGGCAGGTGACATTTGTAGGAGGTTTTGAATTACACCTGCTGAGCTTTGGATTTATGGTATTTACTGATGGACAGGACTGGCTAAGTAATCGGCTGCATTATTTTGAAATGTGGAGCAGTTTGGGGCTCCACTTGTAGCAACGTGGCAATAAAAAGTATTACCAGGAAAAAAAATTTTTCTTTCTAACCTGTATGTTCAAAGAATATATGTGAACAAACAGGCACTGAGTAGTGCCTACATCACAGATTTTCTTTTATTTCAATGACTTAATCTACATGAAAGGAAAAAATACTCATTTAAATCTGCTCTAAGTAGTGATCATGTTTTCTTTTTTTTTGAGAGGTTTTTCACTATAGGGCGTGTGCGCTCGCAGACAGACAGAGAGAGACATAGAGACAGAAAGCGAGAAATCCCCCCCAGGGGGGATGGTCACACTGCAATCCCTTCTCCTCCATCCTCCTCTCAGGATCTTGGGCACACATGCACACGCGCCTGGCATGAGTTTTAAGTCACCAGGTCCAGGATGTGAACCGCGGTCGACTATGTGGGAGTCCAGTGACATAGCCATTATGCTAACTGCTGTTTCCCTGATCATGTTTTCTGAGATAAAAATGTTCAACATTTCTTCCAAATATTTACATTCAGAACTCTTAATTAATAAAAACTTAGCATCTAAATGCTGTAAGCGCAATTTTCAAAACTAAGTTTATCTCGGTTTGCAATATGAATTTTCATAAAGTGAAAAAGCCCTATTTTTGTATCTTAAATGTAACTGCAGAATATTCCATTTCAGTGTAACCTGATATATACTGTTTATGTATTTATTTGTTTGTTATTTTAAATTTGCTATAGGGCACATGCACTCACTTGGGAGAGACAGAAAAAGGGAGAGAGAGAGAGAGAGGGAGGGGGGAAGAGAGAGAGAGAGAGAGAGAGAAAAGCAAGCTGCCATGTCCAGGATTCAAACCACAGTCAGTCAGGTGGGAGTCTAGAGTCTTAACCACCACACTACCAGCTGGCCCCATTATTATTTTTATAGAGAGTGCTTCAATGTATATATGTATTCAACTCTTTGAAGTTTCCTTTATAATCAACTTCAGAAGAAGGATCGCAGCACAGAAGGATTATTGCATCCCTCTAGATAACTATAGACCAATGAATTTTCAGAAACCATCCTAACTGTATTCTTCTGTTCAATGTCTAAGAACATTTGTCACACAAATTTGTCTCTTGCCAATAGAGAAACAATTTTTGTAAAAATATAAGAAGAGTGTCATTTGAAATCACATTTTGTTGAACCCTAATTATTATATTTTTGAATAGTTGCACACTATTGAACAGTTGTGTTTTGTGTCTATAAGTTTAAATATCTACCTGTAACTTTAGCTCATTTTTGTACCATGATACTATATTTATTTATTACCAATTTAGAGGAGGTTTTTATAAATTAAGGGCACTATGTCATTTACCAAGCATGTGTTAAAGGTGCCCCTAAAGACTGAGTTTTTCTTCTGTTCCTTCCCTCTTAGGTTTTTGCCATAGGGCGTGTGCACTCACCAGAGAGAGAGAGAGACAGAGACAGAGAAAATGAGAACTCCTCAGAGAGTACGGCCATGCCACAGTTTTTTCTCCTCTATTCTTGGGCTCCTGGGCTTGCACGCACACATGCCCAGTGTGATTTTCAAGCTGCAGTGTATAGGATTCGAACTGCTGCTGGCCCTATGGAAGTCCATATGCCTTAACTACCACCCAGCTACTGACCCCTGTTCTGTTCAATGTTGACAGGCCAGTATTTTATTTAGTTTTATGATTTATGAAATCTGTTCATTCTTTGATGTGTACTTTTTTTCCATTCTTTTATGGTTGAAAGTTCTTGTCCAACTTGTTATGAGTGAAATAGTCAGATCTTGTTTTCAAAATTATTTTCTTTCTCTCTCCCTTTGTATTTTTATTTTTTTATTTATGTCTGGTTAGTATAGACGTTTTTGCATTGGAGTCTTCAGTGCAGTCAGGTTTTCTGTGGGTGATGTGCTGTTCCCTACATTCAGGGTACAACCACATGCTCTTAATGATATCTCTGTGTTCATACCTGGTACCACGAGTATGCCCTGTCAGAGGGGTCGATAAGGATGGTAATGATCTTCGCTTTGGGGATGAGCGATGCAGCTCGCTTAGGAGCTTCTTCCGAATGGAAGTAATTAGCACTCTTTTCAAACAGAAAATCACTTGTGATGTTAGATGGAATAGGGAAAAAGTCCATATACCTGAAGGCAGAGAACAATGGGTTAATCTGAGATTTCTTTTCTTGCCATACTTTGATATGAAAAATTTGAACATTTTTACATTCATTAATACCAATTTAAAATTCCTATTACTATAATAGTCTAGTACATAGGATACATCCAATAGTGGATACTCCATATAGTTTGAATGTGAAAATGTTCCCCGAAATTATTGTTCTAATGACCCATTTTGGACAGGAGAGGGAGTGAGATGCAATAGTTAGGTTGATAAGGAGCAGTGGGAAAACACTATAAATTTGGGCTGATATTCTCTGCTATATAAAGCCAAATTCCAAACTAGGAAAATCCAAAAATAAAAGTCAAATCTATAGTCTCATTTACTTTCCTTAGTTAAGGAGATGTACAACAATTAAATGTGAAGAAAAAAGGAAAAAGAAAAATGAAGAATAGTCAAATCTAAAAGTATGTTGACCTGTTGGTTAAAAGAGCCAGATCCCATGTGGCTGAGTGCACAGTTGAAATCCCAGACCCCTCAACATGTAAAACATGCCAGGTACATGTGTGTATGTGCCCCGAATCCCAAAAGTATGGAGAAATGGAGAAGGAATTGTAGTGTGACTATGCCCCATTGAGGGGTGCTTTCTCCCTCTCCCTCTCTCTACATCTTGTTGTGGCAAGTGCACACACACACACACACACACAAAAGCAAAACATGACTAATAAAAAAGTAAGTTTACTCCTGGCAAACAGCAAACTACCTGATCTGGCTTAGCTGAGCTGTTTAAAATAGTAAATTTATGTTTGCAAATTTTAATGCTAAATTCTTGAGGTAAGATTAAAGTTCACAAGACAGAAAGAAGAGCTATAAAATACCAAACAGGATAGGGCATAGCTGTTCTCCTTCTTTTGAACTTCTGCATAATTTGTAGTGTACGTTGCAATCTGAGCACATTATAGTCTATCTAGAGTAATTAAGGGGCTATTTCCTGCCAGTCGATCCTGTGGTGCCTCAGTGGGTTCACTCCTCCATATGTTGTCGGAACATTCCTCTGTGTAGATTATGGAATCAATATGTTCTGAGGTTAATTCAGTGCAAGGCTTTAATTATGTGTATAACCCTCCTTACAGCTCAACACTTCTCTAACCCTCAAATGTTCTAGAAATAAATAATGAGAGCAATTAAGAATGCATATAAGACACTTATTTTCCTCTTTGACATTTGTTATTATGTTTCCCAAATGTGGAGTGGTGAAGAGGCTCATCTATATTCCTGCTAAACAATTTGTGTTTCATTTGGGCTCACAGATAACAGACAATTGCAGTTCTACTTGTGTGCACTCCTAAAACACATGTAGCCTTTTGTAAGTAAGAGGGGATAGTAATATCCTAGATGAAAAGAAGATACATCTCTACTGATGGTGGCAAGTCAGATCTACCCACTGGCCTTCCCCCTGACCAACCCTAATCCCAACTGCATTTAAAACAGTGAGTCTTTTGTTGAAGACAGGTTCTTGCATGACAATGACACTCAAAGTTACAGGCTGTCAATGTGTGCGTATTGCGGGAAATTTCCTCAGATGAGATTTGTTCTACATACATGAGGCCTGGACATGAAAGGTAGGACCATATTTTAATAAATAAATTATTTAGAGCTAGGAAAAAGATCACCTGAGTAAATATCACTTCTATTAATAGGTTTATTCTTCTTTAGTGTATAAAAATATTGTGATGTTTTAAATTTTTCATAATTTTCAAGTCCAAATTAATATTTAGTTTATGTGTTTGTGAGACTAAAATTGATGTGGTTTTATTTGCATGACAAATCGCTGCCTATATTTATAACAACATATACAGTTTGCATGGTTAATGAAGATGCATGTCACAGAGTCTAAAATAAAACAACTTACTGATTTAGTTGTTTTCTCAAACATCATTGTGAAGACAAATGATGTGTTTAACAAAAAAAAAATTAGACATAGTAAAATAATATTTGCTAAGAAGAATTTAAAACATCCTTATGAATAATTCTGATGAAAAATATGCCATAATGTTCTTTATTCAATCATATTAATTTACCAGAAAAATATTATCATTATTGCACTGTCCAAATCAAATTATAGGCAACACTGATTAAACGTATCATCATGATAAATTAATTTCTAATTCACTGTGGTAGAATTAAGCATAACAAATTCATTCTGTAATTAGGCGGTTGCCATGCACACATCTATAATTGCCCTGTAGTAACTTAGCATGTGTTAATAATGGACTTTATTTTTTTGTTATTTTTCTTACCAGTCTATTCCCTTGTGATAATTGTTTCCATTGAAGAATTGAACCTCTTCAAATGTTTTTGGACTGGGAAGGTTGCTGATGATGGAAGGATGCATAAGAAGAAATAAATAAAGTGCGGTTGTTCCTATGACAAACAAAGAAGGAAAAGGGGACCAGCAGTTAGAGTAATGGCTATGTCGCTGGACTCCCACGTAGTCTACCACGGTTTGAGTCCTGGACCTGGTGGCTTAAACTCATGCCAGGCACGTGTGCTTGCGTGTCCAAGATCCGGAGAGGAAAATGGAGGAGAAGGGATTGCAGCGTGGCCATCCCCGCTGGGGGGTGCTTTCTCTCTTTCTATTTCTCTGTCTCTCTCTTTCTTTCTGGTGAGCGCATGCACCCTATAGTGAAAACCTCTCCCCCCCCCAAAAAAAAATAAAAAAGAAAGGAAATAAAAAAAATTAAAAAATCAAAAAAAGAAGGAAAAGGTTATATGTCAATAAGACAAAATACAGTTTTAGTATGTCTTTTTTGTTCAAAAGTAATATTCAAAGACCAACTCTTCCCCTTGTCAAAGTGATTTTCTTAAAAATTAATTAGCTGTATTTCATGTGGCAACAAGTAAGCATTTGTTTATTAGTCTCTGTGACTCCATTTACCTTATTGTTAGGACACAGCCATAATGAATGGGACTGAAGATCCAGCTAGGGTAGGACTTCAGAACTCACCTGACTCAGTCTCCCTCCTGCAGGGTGAGAGGCTGAAGCCTAAGGGCATGGGGTATCTCTCTCTCTCTGTTCTACATCAGGCCCAGTACCTGAACTTGATGGGTCTTTCCTTGACATTAAATCAAAACTATCCATCTGATGTTGACCTCATGCTCTGTGCATGTCCCTGTAGTAACAATTAGTGATTGCCTCCATGCCCCAAATCCCAGGAAGAAATGGAGAAGAGATTGTAGCATGGCCATCTCCTGGGAGTAAGTTCTCACTTTCTCTTTCATTGTCTCTGTCTCTGGAGAGCATGGGTGCACTATGGCAAAACCTTTAAAAAGCAAACACACATTTGCAGGCCAGGCCCAGCAGGTGGCATTGTGGTTAAGGCACCCGGATCCCATGTGGCTGATGGTGGGATGCACACCTGTGCATGTGTGCCCAGAATCCTGAAAGGAGGGAGAAATGAAGGAGAATGGATTGTGGCATGACCATCCCCTACAGAGGATGCTTTCTCTGCCTCACTCTGGCCAGTGCATGCACCTTCTAGAAAATTAGAAACAAAAGAAAGCAAAACATGCTTGCTGCCTTTCAATAAACTTGAAGTCTTTATGTGGACTTGGGTCAAAGTGCACAGGTAATTGTGACATAGTTACAAGAGCAGAGCAGGGTGCTCTTCTAACATGGAGAAAAACAGGTGATTTAGAGTTGGGATGTCAATGAATGGAAAGCATATTTAAAGGCTGTTCCTAAAAAGGTTGAAGGATCAGCAGTTGGAGTAATGGCTATGTTGCTGGACTCCTGTGTAGTCAACTGCAGACCCAGTAGCTTAAACTCACGCTAGGCACGTGTGCATATGTGCCCAAGATTCTGAGAGGAGAATGGAGGAGAAGGGATTGCAGTGTGGCCATCCCCTCTGGGGAGTTATTTCTCACTTTCTGTCTCTCTGTTTCTCTCTGTCTGTCTGGTGAGCACATGCGTCCTGTAGTGAAATCCTCTAAAAAATAAATAAATAAATAAAACCAAAAAACAAAGTTGAAAGGTTGAAAGAGGAGAGAAATTTTCCAGAGAGATGGTTGCTCAAATGACTTCTGACAAGACAGACAATCAAGCCTGATGACTGAGTCACCATGCTAAATAAACTAGTTAATAGAATCCACTTAGTGTGCACATCACAGAAGTCTAGATGTACTCTCTGAATCTTACTTCCATGCCAGGCCAGAAGACTGTAGCCATCGCAGAAAGGACTCACGGGTCATCATGGCTCTCATAAATCAAGGCTTTGTCCTTGTGTTTCACATTGGACCAATGGAGGCTTATTGGCTGTGCCAGCCCTAGAAGAGTTGGAGATGAACTACACTGGGCTGGTAGAGCAATAACCATTGAGCCGGGGGATCTGGAAGTAGAGAAGGCCAGTAGAGAATTGGGACTGTGCCCTGATAAACCAGAAGTTCATACACGCAAAGGCTATCGTACTTCAAGTATCAATGAGATTGCCATCCATGTGGATGTACACAGTTCTACAAGATCACCATGACTGAACAGGAGTATTAATAGCTAAAGGAAAGAAAATAATGGCAGATCTAAGGGCACCAGTCACCTGAGTGGAAGAGATGTTAAAATGTGTAGAATGGGTGACTCGGTTATTTTACTAAGAATGGCCAAAATTAGAAAATGTCCTGGAGATTCAGTTGCTAATTTAAAAAGACCTTTTAAGAATGAATGAATATGGAATGAAATAATATAAACTCAATAATAATAATAATAATAATAATAATAATAATATGGAGGAGACAGAACTGGCTAAGAACTGAATAGAGGCTGGAAGCCCAAGCTAAAGAAATATCTCAAATATGATGTAAAATATAGATGTAAAAGTTATGAAGGATGAGAGAAATCTTGAGTGACTGATCTGATTTTCTCCTGAAAAATAACAGAAATTCAAAAAAGAAGAAAAGGTAAGAATAGGAACACAAATGTTCCAGAAAGAAGTGAGTTAGAGACCGAAGAGTAGCTAGAAGGGAACATGGAATCTACAAGGGTTCATTATCAGTCTTTTTAAATGGGACTTACCTAAAAAAATGTTTAAATCATGATAAGAATAAAGTAATGAAGGAGCAGATTTGAGATACATAAGAGAGCTGAGAAAACTGATAGTCTAATGTCCCTAAGGAGTTGAAAGCTGATGGATCCAGGGCACAGATGGAGGAAAATCTTGAATTATTGCTGATTGTCTTCAAAATAGACACTTTATAACCTCACCCAGTAGGATGAAAAGATGTCTAAGCCACCTGATTGTCACAGAACAGTACCCAGATCTCCCATGGGCTGTGGGAAGTCCATGCTGGACTCTACACCGTTGTGCTGCCAAGAGCCAGAAGGGAATCAGGAAGGGAAGTGGGGAGGAGCGAGCATGGCTTCTCAACTGTGCACAGCAGGCTTGTGGCTCTGTGTTCTTAGAGAGCCACAATATCGGACCTACTCCCTCAAAATGTAGACTTTCTGTTATTATTTATGTTCTTATCTACCCTTGTCATTCATTTTTAGTCAATTTCTTTGATCTATGTATTTTGTGGAAGAAAAAGAAAAGACCTCATACCTTATAGTAAAAGAGAAACTATATTATACTCAAGCAACTCATTTTTCTTTTTTAAGCTTTTAAAAAATAACAATTTACTTTATTATTTTTTTTATTGTAGAGCAATTTAATGTAGGACATATCCACCCACCAGAAAGAGAGAGAGAAAGTGAGAAAGCAAGCCGCCATATCCAGGATTCCAACCACGGTTGGTCATAAGGGAATCCAGTACCTCAACCACCAAACCACTTGCTGGCCCTGTTTTTAGTGTTGATATACCTGGTAAGTCAGACAAATCATGAGAAATTAATTTTCACAGTGAGAATACTGATCTTCTGGAAGATGTAGGGCCAATGAATTATGTTTTTAGATTTATTAAGCTAAATTTAATCTTACTAGAAATCGTCTTTTACACTGGAAATAGCAAACTCTGACTGTGAATGGTGAATGATGTACATGTATCCAAGAGCTCACAGAAGGACTGCAATGTGGACTTCAGTGCCGCAATTCCGGGGATGTGAGCGCACTGCCTATCTCTCCTCTCCACGTCTTCATTTTGAATTAGGCCAGCTCAAGGTCTAACAGCAAGATGGCCAATATGAAATTAAGAAAGCTTTCTCATAAGAACAGCTTGACTAAGTGCTGAGTCATGGTGAGATCTGTTTGAGGAATGGTCAAATGAGAAACCAGGAATGGGTATTTAAAGTAAAACAGGAATCAGGACAAAAATTCAGGGGATAGCTATTGACCAATCGATCAGAGTGAGGAATGATTTGCATGTGCTTGTATCTTGTATCTGTAAATACTGAGAACATATTGAACTTGTTCAGAACACTCTGATGGGGCTTGTTGCTTTTCTCCCTCATTTCATTGACCACGAGAAGCAGTGGCAGGACTTAATTTGCTAAGAACAGTATCCTGACCTGCTTGCAGCAAGAGCAAAGTAGGATATCAGGTCCTTCCATTCTCAACTCACAGCAACCGAGTAAATGGGAGTTTGGGGACCACTTTGGACCTCCTATTTATTGTAGGGGATACATGTGCCATGTGTTAAGTTGTTTAAAGGTAATATTGCATTTAAGACCATTATCTGTATTAGCATTTGCTACCCCCTCCAGGAATTCACAGTCTCTGACATCCTTGAGAGTTTAGCCAGCTGAAGCAACACCAAGAACAAAATATGACTTAGACACCCACAATTAAATTTTAAGAATGATTACAACCATTTTTATACTAGGATACATTTTCATAGCATATAAAAGATTGTTATCATCTCATGTTTTTGCTTTAACTTCTTGGTTTTGTTTGTTTATCTTTGGAAAACCAAAGCCAATAAAAAAGCTTTATCATTCCCATACTTTTAGGTCAAAAGATTAAAATCTAAAAGTATAACTCAGTGTCTTTACAAATATAAACAGCAAAGAAAAAATAGATTTATCTTTACTAACCTGTAATTTTCTAGGAGAACGAAGAAGTAATAATATTCCATGACAAATGATAGAGGATATGTCTTTAAATTAAATTTTAACATAATTTTATAACCCAGTAATGTTTTATTTCTTGGGTAGTCATTTTGGAGTTAGCACTGCTATAGGGGAGTTGGTAGAAAATTAATGCACACTTTAAATAACAACAAAAACATGATATATCTGAAAATATGTGCTGCTTGGGCTTCCTCTCTGCACATGTGTTAACTTACTGTTGTAATGCAATTTATATTCCTAGAGGAAGAAAAGATTTCAGCAACCAATATCTAATAGTCTGGAAATTTTCCCCACAACCTTTAAAATGATGTACTTGCTTGTATTACAAATATCTTCATCTGGGCCGGCCTTATTTATTGTGACTGTTTGTTTTGTGTTATGGTGTGTGCACTCACTGATGAAAATGCTTCTAGTCAAAGTAGTGAATTCAAAATACAACAACTCAATAAAAACTTTAATTAATCAGGACGTGAGCAAAGTGTATAAAACTGTCACATACTGAAGAAAGTATAAAATATTCTAATTGAAAGTGTCATCTCGTCGGTGAAATACTTTCACTCTCTTTTACTACATTCTTATACAGTTGTCCTTCAACACATGGAAAATACCAAGGGGGAAAAAATGCCTGATGAACCTCAGGTGTATCAGAAAATATGTTTGAACCGTATTAATACCTAATGATTATTTAGAATACCCAAACCATGCATGTAAAATATCTGAAAGTAATAATGGCAGTGGCTCTGGGAAAAAATCAATTCAAGGCCGACGTGAAGTGTAAATAGCTTGAATCATATGCCAATGCATTTGTTTATAACTTAGTTCAGGAATTAACTAGGCAAAGCCCCCAAAAGCAAAACTAAAAATCAAGTACCGCAACTGAGACACATAAAATCAAGGTTTTCAAAAATCGACATGTATTTTGAATAGTTTTAAAAATCTATCGTTGAAAAATTTAGGACTGACCCAGTGGTTAAATTCTGTCATTTGTACATGGCCAATGACAGTTCAAATCCCAGCTCAGTGACTTGAAAATTACACTAGGAGAGAAGGATCCTGATGAAAAGGAGAAATAGAGGAAAAAGAATTTTGATGTGATCATGCCTCAATGAAGAGTACTCTCTCTCTCTCTAGCTTTGTGAGCACACACATCCTTTGGTAATAAACATAATAAAATAAAATAAAATAATAAAAGGAAACAGTTCAGTGCTGAAGTCTAATTGATGGGCAACATTAAGGTCCTCTTGGAGTTCATGGTACAAAGGTGATCCTTGGGGATGAAAAGTAATGAATTTCCTTGGATGCCCAAGTATTTCAATAAGCAAAACCTAATATAATAAGGTTATATTATAATAATAATCAGGATGATGCAAGTAGTACAACTGGCATTCTTACCTGTTTTTTGCGGTCCAATTACAAGAAATTTTGGTAAATGATCACAAGTTTTCTCTCTGGACCAAATGTCTTTGTGCCGTTTATCATCACATGGATTCTGCAAGAAGAAAGAATAATGGATGTTATGAATGACTGACACTGCTCCATAAACAAAGTTCAAAAGATGGGATTGGATCCCTGCATGAGGGTCAGTGGTGGGGTTATAGGTAGCAAAGCTCTGATATGGAAGGGTAGGGTCACATGGAAGACCTGGGTTTAGATCCTACACCAGGCTGAACAGGTCAGGAGAGGCAGCATATACCTTAATTCTGCCAATTGGAGGCTGGGATAGAAGATCTCAATGGTGAAACTGTGGCAAAAATACTTCTCTTTCTCTTTCTCTCCTCTCTCTCTCTCTCTTCCTGTCTCCTTCATTTAAAGAAAAATAACATTTGGCCTTACACCCTGGAGCTAAGAGTTAGATCCTGCTCTGCTCTCATTTCCAGATTGGTTCCCTATAAACTGATTGGCACCTTCTCCCACCTCGAGGCTGGAGCTCAACATTCAGTCAGTCCTGCTGGCACCCTCTTCTGATGTTTGGCTAGATTCTAACCCCCGAGATACGAATCTATTTATGGCTCTGTGTTTTTATGTCTATGTGTTAAAGGCCTTAACTTGACTTAATCTGACTTGATTACAGTTGTCAGATCTCTGTGCTCTGCCCTAATTGTTCCTATTTCCCCCCAGAGATTGCAATGCCATCCTTGAACTCCAGACTAAGCCAACTTTTCCTTTTTCTTTCATACCACATTCTGTTCTCAACCAACTCAGCTACTCCTATAGTTTAACCATAGCCCAAAAGCTGCTGATAGCAACTAAGTTAATATTTTTAACCTCTACCTCTTTCTGAGCCCCAGACCTGCATCTTACATGGCATAGATGCCACTGCTGTATAGATTTGGTGAGGACATTTCAGGCCAGTATACCCAATGGTCTATCGGTCCAATTTTATCCCCATATAACTTTTATCTCTCATTCTATTCTCCATTTCATTCCATTTGGCTGACCAAAATTTATTATCCAAGTCATAACACTTTTGAGATTTAAAAGGGCTTTAAAAATAAAAATGACACAATTTTTGAAATATTTATTAATTGACTGCCAAACTGGTTTTATTGTATTGGTGATGTACACAACAATTATATTCTAAAACTACTTTCACAAAGAAAACTCTTCTTTAAGATGTATACCTTAAGCATTGAAACTATTCTCTCCTTTTCTATGTATTAGCTACATACTAAAAATGTCATAAGATGAAAAATCATTTATGATTTATAATCATGTACTTTGATCAGGTCTTCAGACACATCTTTCTCTAAAACCATGTCATCACCAAGATTCCTCTGAAGAATGATTGTTTTCAATATGGTCTTATTATGTTTTGCTTTTCCACAATATTGCCTGCAATCTTTTTCAAAGTTGCATTTCATGGTTAATAAATTTGAAAATGTTGACACTTTCAATTGACTCTTTTCTATAAGCCAGTATGTTTTTAACTGGGGAAATATTTTTCCTACAGGGTCAAGATAAGCTTATTTTCAATTCTAATTTTTTTTACTGTTGAAATTTGGAATACCAGAGATGAAATATTTTCTGTTATTTTCCATTCAAAGTATCTTTCTTTGACAAACATGTTGAAAGACAGTAATTGTCATATGAGTTGCCTTTAATTTAATTTCTTTTGACCATTTTGCCAAATGTAGGTGTACAAACTTAAAAATAGGATACTTAGCAAGAAATGCTTACCACAGATGAACTTCTGAAGTTTAAGTAAAGAATACCAAAATTAAACTATTTATTTCATTTGCCCTCTCGTTACTTTAAGTCTCCTTCTTCACTACTTTGAAATTTTATTTATAGTAGTAAAAGGTAAAATATATCCTAAGATAAAAACATTATTTAAATGTTATTCTGAAAATATTAATCGATAAAAATGTATGTTTGAGAAAGTAATTTTATTCAATTAATTTTCTAGTATATTTGTTAAATCAAATTATACATGAAATTATAAAACCAATTTTTCCTAGTGTCATTATATAAACTGAAGGAATCAGAATCATCCTGATAGTCTGCAATGTCTAACAGGAGCTCATGACATGGATGCATTATGTTCATTGTGTCTGATAACGTTGCAAATGGTCAATACTTTGATAAGATATTCAAACTTCAAAGGATGGAAGGAAAACATACAACCTATTTGTTTTACAGATAGGTTGACTCACAGGTTTTTAGATGCCTAAAATGGACTCCTGTTGTATTACAATCTGGGGGCTTCCTAAAAATCAAGGGTTGATGAAAACCTTCCAAGAGGAATAGTTTCAGGAAATGAACTTTGTCATCCATATTTTTTGTGGATGGAGTAGTAGCCAAGCATAGGGATACAACAAACTAAAGGCAGTGATGAGTGACATAGAATGAGTTGGCCAGGAAACTTGAATGAGATAGGAGATGAGAGCTAGTCAATCCTAAGGAAGAGGCACATGGATGAATTTATAATAGTGACCGAAAAGTGTGGTGATCTTTGTATTGAATTTTAATGTACACCAGAGAGCATCTGGAATGAAGAGGTACAAAATGACCAAGTATAGTTCTCAACATACTCAGATGTCACCTAATCTCTCTTCTCAATGAACCCAGTGCTGAAGCTACAGGATCATGAATGGTGTAGCCATGCTAGCAAATATGGAAGTCATTCATGGGTCTCCAAGTCTTCTCTGGTTACGACCACGGTGGAATACCTGAGCTGATGGAACAGAGAATGAGAGATACCCACATGGACATCCAGATGCTCTGCTCTACTCTTGCCCTCGTGATGTGATGTCTTAGGACACCCCTTACAGAAGTGGCCCCCAGACTTTAGAATGCCAAGCTGTGAGATGAACAGTCCTTTGTTCTCTTAAAAAATATTGAGTCATTGAAAAATCATGATGCAGTTTTTTATAGAAAAACAGAAAACTACGTCATGACTTCTCCAATGACCCAATAATAACAGAGACCATATCTAAGTCCCAGAAATAGCATTATCCTGTCACTTAGTGAAAAATCGATTACATTGGCCACTCTTTCTGAAAAGGGCAGTGATTCATCCACATCAGGCCTGACACATACTCAGAGTACTCATTTGCTTTCTGGGCTCACATAGCCCTGACAATCACTGTGTAAGGGCTTGCGGAGTGTCTGACTCATTGACATGTTATCTCACATGATATTGCTTAAGATAAACCACTTTTTGGTAAAGAAAGTATAACAGTAGATAGGTATGTGACCATGGCAGTCATTGGTCCTATCAACACATCCCTCTATCCAGAAGCTGCTCACCTGAAAGAATGATGGAAAGGCTTCTTAGGAGATCCAGGAGAGGAACCAGCTTGGAGATAAAGTGTACTATTTAGATCAAAAGTGGCTAGTTGGTGCTGTTTCCAAAGGTAAGGACTATTGACTCTAAGAATTAAGGGACAGAAGTAGAACTAATGACCTACTTGAAAATTTGTGCTTTTAATCCCCACAACTTAAAGGTCTGTAGGCTTAGAAGTCTTAGTTGCTTTTGCAGAGATGCTTCCACCAGGGAACATGGCAAGAGGTTCACTAAATTGAGAACTGTAACTGCTACCTGGTCACTTTGGACTCCTGGTGCTGGTAGGTTAGTAGATATAGAAGTGAATTGCTAGGGTGGCAGGTGGTGTGGTGGTTAAAGTCCCTGGAATCTTACATGCCTGACCATGGTTCAAGTCCCAGACCTGGTGGCTTACTTTCACACTTTCCCTCTCTCTCCCTTTCTGATCAAGTAAATTAAATAAATAAATAAAGTTAAATAAAGATAACTATTTGGGGGAAAAAAAAGAAAAAAGAAGTGAGTTGCTTCCCTAGTGGGGAAACTGACCTGGGCCACTATGTGTAAATAAAATAGCTACTCTACAGTGAGAACAGGGAGAATTATATTTAGTCCTCATATCACCCACTAGGAGTCCAGCTGCAGTGGTGCATGCTGCCAAGACACTGTGCTCCACACACAGGGGTCACACAGGAGGCCTGGATTAGATTTCTGGTCCTACGAAAAGGCTAGGCATGGTGGCACACACCTGGACCCCAGCAACTTGGGAGGCTGAGGCAGGAGAATTGCAAACCAGTAAGACTATGTCTTAAAATAATGATAATAATAATGATGGCCCACTATGTAACTTTTTGGTATCTCCATGTCTAATGTTAGTGGTAAATGGGAAAATTCAGTAACTGTGACCTAATAGGTGCTGAATGGGCACCAAAACAGAGTCTACCATCGTGTACCTCTTGTTTCACAAATTATTTTTATTCCAGGCTCAGACATACCCTATTGTAACTCCTAGAAAAATGTACAAGAGGGGAGTTAGTAGGACAAAATATAGTTGCTGATATACAGTAACGTCTTAGACTTGACTAAGATGCACTGTATTCATTCTGGGAAAAACCATGTTGTACAATGAAAAGTTCTACAGTGATTAAATGTATATTTAAAAACAAAACCTAAAAGTTCTTTCTATCTATCTATCTATCTATCTATCTATCTATCTATCTATCTATCTATCTATCTATCTATCTATCTATCTATCTATCTATCTATCTATCTATCTATCTATCTATCTATCTATCTATCTATCTATCTATCTATCTATC